TACTTTCCACTACCGTCTTCCGCCGCCGCTTGCCACCACTTGCCATTTCTTACTCTTTCTTATATTTTTAATTTTTTTTATACATTTTGTCAATTACCAAACGCGTTTGTAGTTTATGTTTTTCTAAAAATAAACAAAAAATAAACAAAAACCAGTTTATAAAATTTTTGTAAATATAAACTGAAAATATAAACATTACCAAACACACCACACTTACTATTCATTTTCATTAATTTATTTTTCATCTAACATCTTTTGATTTTCATTAATTATAAATCACCATTTGATAATATATTATATTATTTGTCCTGTCCTTGATAAGATGCAAGATAAAGACAGAGAATGACAAACTTGTGCCTTGGCCATCTCAGTCTCAATTCAAATCAATTATCCATTCGTACTCTATATTCAGCCAAGGGGTGTAAGGTAAAAAAAAAAAAAAAAAAAAAAAAAGAAGAAGAAGTTAAAAAAATATTAAAAAATCAAAAAATCAAAAAAATTAACATAAAGATTTAATTAGGACATATGATACGTTGTGCAATATAATATTTTCCTAGAATTTAACAAGTTCTTACAGAAGAAGCTGATGGAATTGCTGGAGAGGGTGAGAATAAAACAATTGTGTTGTTGGAAATTAATTTGTGCCTGGTATATTGATTTACTTTATCTACCAAATTTCATATACACGTGTTTATATAATTCACAACCTTATGGCAGAAGTGTTGTTTACCAAACAAATAAACAAAAAATTAATTAATTAATTAAACAAAGTCAAAATCAATAACAAAAAGATCAAATTTTTATTAGATATTTGGGCATGCAAGATAAACAAGATTGATAATTCTTGACACCTTTTTATTCGTTAAAGCCTAATCACATCTGGGAAGAAAAAAAAAATATGTTTGGTTATTATTTTTTTAAAACACTTTTCAGAAAATTCTACTTTCTTATTTTTCGTACTTTTTTGTTTTTACTGAATTTTTTTAATATTTTGAGCAATTTTTTTAATTTTTAGACATACCTGACATAAATATACCTAAAAAGTAAAAAGAAAATGAAAAAAACCTTTTAAAAATTCACTAAATACCAAAAATACAAAAAAAAATACGAGAATTCAGTACATTTTTTATATTTTTATGCATTTATTAATTTTTAAAAATATTTTTTCACAAATTTTTTACTTTGTAGATACATCTAAGTAAGGTGCATCTAAAAAAGTAAAAAAAAAATGTTTAAAATTTTAAGAATATTCACTAAAAACAAAAACATACGAAATCTAAAAAGGAAAAATTAATCTAAAGTCCCTCTCCCAATTTTAGTAATGGAAGAGATCTATAATATTATTTTATGATGTCTAAGGTCCCTCAACCTTACACCCATGTATTACAGAGAAATTTGGTATAAGCTTGAACCTTCACCTCCTTTATCATCATCTTCATCCCCACAATCTTTCCCACTCTCATTTGCACTTTCCAATGACCCATTCTGATCAAACTCCTCATTCTTATCAGAACCATCCCTAATCAACTCACTTGAATCACCATCACCCAAACCCTTCTCATCATCTTGTCTCTCATGTTCACCGAAATCTTTCTCAACCTCAACAATCATAGTTTTGTTTGAAACTTCAACATCACAGACGTCGTCACCGTTCAAACCCTCACTAGAAACCCTAACCCCATTTTCATGATCTCGAACAGCAAACCCTAGTTCGGACGCAGAGAGAGCTGGTTCGGAAGAGAAATGAGCATCAATCTGAGCTACGGTTTTTGTTGTATCGATTTCCATATTTGGAAAACATTTTGTTTCCAATTTCTCCTCAATTTTCCTGAGATTTTCGGAGTTCATAACTGTAAACAAACACACAAAAAACATAGAGAGAAAAGTGAAAAATCAATCAGAGACTGTTGCTAGGCTTTTTAGCTATCTGCATTATAAAAAGAAGAAGAGATGCATACATCTAAATTTATACACAGTAGGTGATAGAATATATATATATATATAAAACAAACCCAATTTTCTCTGAAGTAGAGCACTAGAAACCAGAGAATTTCTCTGGACCAAACCAGAGAATTTCTCTGGACTAACCCAATTTTCTCTGCAGAGCACTAGTTCAACCTAGAGAATTTCTCTGGACCAACCCAATTTTCTCTAAAGCAGAGCAATAGTTCAACCTAGAGAAAATTTAGTCCAAATCACAGAATTTTTCTGGACCAACCCAAATTTCTCTGAAACAAAGCGCTAGTCTTTATTGTTGTCCAGAGAAATTTAGAGTTTTCTCTGTGATGTGTCTAGAGAAATTTGAAATTTCTCTGTGATTTGTCCAGAGAAATTCTCTGGATCAAATTTTCTCTAGATCGAATTTTCTCTGGATTGATGTTGAGGAACCTTAGACATCATAAAAATATTGAGTGTCCTTTAGGCTATAAAATATTAATACCAGGGACCATAAAAAAAATTTCCCATCTAAAAAACTCAATTTTCAAAAAATTTAAACCAAATACACTGAGCTCTGACTTATATCACATATGATGTGCCCTTTCAATTAGAGAATGACACACCTAAAAACTAAATACTAACCATGGAAACTAATATAACCTGACTGAAAACTTAAAAAGCACTTATATTTGAATTTTAACAGTGCCAACAGATTACTCTGGTCTCTTTTTCTGGCTATAAAGTTTCACCAACTCCTCCGCTACCCCACCTATATCCTCCTCCCCTCCTCCCCTTTGATGCTTAGGGTTTCACTCAACCCCCTTGCTTTGCTCCTCACCGCCTCCCCACCATCTTCAACCACCACTTTCTGAATCACCTCGGCTGCATTTTTTCGATCAAGCACCCCGTTCTTGTCCCTCACGGCCTCCATGCCAACCCCTATCTCCTCCACCAACCTAGCATTTACAGGCTGATCAAGATGTATTGGTATGGCTATGATTGGATTTCCAAACTTCATTCCCTCCATCACTGAGCTCCATCCACAGTGACTCACAAAACCACCAATGCTTGGGTGTAGCAAAATCTTCACTTGAGGAGCCCAGCCTTCCACCACCATGCCTCTACCCTCTCAACGAACTCTCTAGGCATTGCCTTCTGAACACTTGTATTTACTCCCATTGGAAACCTCACAACCCATACAAAATCAACACCAGAAAGCTCCAACCCAAAAGCTATCTCTTCAATCTCATCCTCCGATAGAAAATACTCGGTGCCAAAACAAACAAACACTGTGGATCACCGCTCCTTCTTGTTCAGCCACCCACTAATCCCGCTCTCATCGTTGTCGTCGACACAGTCTTGGACAAGAGGGACAGGCACAATCTTCTTCCCAACCAAACCAGAGAGATAATCAATGTACTTTCCTTCAACTTCTTTAAAAGTTTTGATCAGAACAATCTCCGATGATCGATCAAGGCACTCGAAACAGCGAGTCTTGTCCTTGTCGAGGTTTTTCGAAGGATTTAGCAAATGGGATACTTCTACTTTGTCATAATCACAAAGATAAATCGATGGAAAAGGAAAAGTGATAAGTAGGACTTTATAGAGGTGGTGCATGAAGGCGGTTATGGTGGCGCTGCTAGTGATGAAGTCCACCGCCTGAATACCATACTCAGCGGCGACCACCGGAGCCCAAGGCTGAAGAAAATCATAGATGAGGAGGTCTGGTTTGTGGGTTTTGAGGAGGAGAGACAAGTTGGGTTCGGCGGAGTCGAAGGCCTTTTTGAGGGTGGGCATGAAGTGGGGAGGGAGGTCTTTGGTGGTGTCGTACGGCAGAGGGAGGTCAGGCAATGGTGGTACATGGAGTTCAATTAGTTGGATTATTGAAGTTTCGGTAACACTTTTCAGAGAGTTTCTTTTGGATGGAAGTGAGCGCTGACTGGGTGGAATGTAGAATCCTGTTGATAGTTTCTTGGTTGAGAAGCTTTTTGGCAGCTCTAAGTAGGTGAGATGTGGGCCGCATGCTAGCAGTCGCATGGAACACTAAGAATTGGAGATGAAGTGCTTTGTTTTGCTTCCATGATTCTGGTCATCTTCTCCTCTTCTCATGAACAGAGGCTCTTACTTGCAACTTCCGGTAACTTGTACTACCCTCTACATATAGTATATACGTAGTTGGTAATGATGCATAATAATGATTTCTATGTCACAGATATGTGAATTCTTCTATTCTCATACATTCTCCTTTGAGTTTAATCAAATCTTGTATTTTCTTATCTGAACATCTCAAAACATTCAATTATGTATGAAATTTTTTCATATACTGAATATTCCTACATTTCTATTGTAAAAGTTGTAATTATTTTGGGAACAATAAGATCATATTTTTTTTAAACTTTCTATGTTTAAGGAATAATAATCAATTGATTAACTGTGGAAAAAATCAACAAGATAATAAATGGTTGGTTTATTGGGCCTTAATTTGTTAGTTTGATTTTCGTTTTGTCATTGATAGGTCCCTACAAGTTAGTAGAAATCAACTCGAAATTTTCTTGAGTTAAAAAGAAAAAATGGAATGTTTGTATGCATATTTAACCTTTACTTTCATCAATTACACCGTGCTTCTTATTTTTTCCTCCTAATAGGAAGTTTTAATGCTCCTCAAATAAATTCTCATAGGGAATACAACCGGGTCTTCTATATTCTTTTAATATTATTTTTGGATGATTGTTATTAAACACTTAAACCCTAAAATAAAAAGAAAAAAACAAGATTTTTCATTAGATTTTTACTATTAGACAACATACATGATTGTGCAGTAACCCGGATATTTGTTATTACAATGAAAAAACCTTCATTACATACTTGTAGACTTATGACGTACTATATATATCTCGTTACTGTGAGGAAAATTAACAAGAGCATAGTAACAAAATCATTAAGTTTAAAAAAAAATGTATGGGCAGCAATTATGAATAATATTATAATGTTTGATGCAAACTTTAATTTAAGATCCCGCTCCTAAATTATGAAATAATAACAAAGATGAATGTAGTGAATAGCACAAGAAATCTGTCCAAAACTGACAGAGAAAACACTGGATTGGAAAAATGACTTAGCGGCGTTTTTAAAAACCCGCATATATGTTATTGAAAAACGCCGCTAATTCTTAGTGACGCTTATCACCAAACGTCGAGGGACGCGCCGTCGCTATAAGTTTATGTCGCTTTAAAAACGTCGTAATAGGTTATAGGAGGCGTTTTTAAAAACGCCGCTAAAATGCGATAAATAATGATTAAAATGACGTCATCCAATATTTAGCGACGTTTTTAAAACGCCGTGATAGTAGAGTATTTTTTTATTTTAAAAAAAATGTCCTTTTGGCACTGTAAGTGGCGTTTGAAAAAAAACGCCGTTATAGCTCTTTTTTTAAAAAAAAAAAATTTTAATCGTAAATTTAACTAAAAAAACATGTTTACCCGTAATAAGGAAAAAAAACAATAATATGAATTAAAATTTATACAGCTACTTTCAATATATTGCAACTAAATAAACAATTAACATGATTGTGTCTGAAACCAGATCAAACAACAAACACAATCAAAAGAAATAAAGAAGAAAAAATAGTTAAGTCATTTGCTTGCACATGCAGAATGCAATGGAAATAAGTCAAGCATATTAACAACATTCATTACACTGCCAGAAAAGGATTCGTATTCAATTAATCATAATAGGTTCAATGTACAAACAAAACAATTGAGCAGGATACATTCCATGAATGCCCAGTCAACACAAAGGAATGGTCAGAGGCCCGAAGTGAAACAGTGGCGCTGACACCTTCTCCAAACTTCATTCATATTAATTTTGTAATTTCTGCATTTTTGAAGGGAAATTTTGTTTCTCTGACACCTGTCCATTGGTTTCCTTTTATAGGTATGGCCATTCTCAATGTGGCCAGGAAATTGCCTTGGCAAAAAAACTTTGTCAGTAAAG